CCAATGTACGCATTCATTCTATAAGCTATATAAAGATTAAAATGAATTTAAAATAAATTCAAATGCCTATTGAAAGTGTAATCAAGTGTCTACCAACACTTAAAGATCTTGCACAGGCTAAAACGAAAAAACAACAGAATAAACTTTTATCAAAAGCAAAATCTTGCATCTATTATTCAATATCAGAAATAAGTAAAAATATACTAAACGGAAATATATCAATTGACAATCACCATAAAAAGAAACTTGAGCCATATAGAAATCAACTGCGAGTGCTCTCAAGGAAAAGTATCCCATTAAAGAAAAGAAAAGAAATCATAATACAGACAGGTGGAGCATTCCTACCTGCACTACTTTGGCCAGCAATATCTTTTTTGAGTGCAAAACTATCTGATCAATTCAAGAAATGAATGTTGTAAATAAATTAGTTTTAATTCCAGAAAAAGAATATAGTCTACTTAAAAGTAGTAATAATCAAGAGGTGTCACGTGATGTTAAGCCTGCTGAGTCTATTCCCGCAAATCAAGAGGAAAATAATTCTGCAATTAATTTGAATGAATATAAAGAGTCATTCAGAAAAGCCTTGCAAAAATATGAAAAGAAACTATCAGCCAGGCCTAAAAAGAGAAAGTTGAAAAAATGTCAGAACCTCAAGTGGACCAACGTGAAGAGTTTCTGAAATCACTTTACTACGACTTGGATAGTTTCGGCAGTTTTGGGGGTGCGAAAAGACTTTTCAACGTTGCTAAACAATTTGATCCTTCAATCAATTACAAATTTGTTAAGAAATGGTTAATGAGTCAAGATACCTATACAAACTTCCGTACAAGACGAAAAACTTTTCAGAGGCTAGCTGTATTAGTTGATAGAATTGATGAACAATGGCAAGCTGATCTAATGGACATGTCCTATTGGTCAAGACAAAACGATGGTATTCATCATTTATTAGTTGTGATTGACATACTGAGTAGGTTTGCATGGGTGCAACCGTGTAAAGATAAATCAGCATCTACAATAATAAATGGATTTTCTCAAATTTTCAACTCAGGAAGGAAGCCAGAAAAATTACAAACGGACCAAGGACGTGAATTTAATAATAATAGATTTAAATTTTTTTGTACATCTCAGGGCGTTCATTATTTCACAACAACTGATGCATCAATAAAATGTGCTCTAGCTGAACGATTTATAAGAACATTACGTGCACGCATATATCGATTTATTTACTATAAACATACACATCGATACATCGATGACTTGCAAAATATTGTTGAAAACTACAACAACTCGTATCACAGAACTATTAGAACAGCTCCGAACTCTGTAACACGGGATAATCAACAAGCAATAGTGGATACTATACAGAGATCTATTAGAAGTGATGAGCATAAAAAGAAAATGTTCAATGAAAATGATCTCGTCAAAATTCCATTAAATTCTGGAAATTTCGAAAAGGATGCTGTTCAAAAATGGACAGATGAAGTATTTAAAGTTTCAGGAGTCAAAGAAACACCTCAAAAATTCATTTACAAGTTGAAAGATTTACAAGGTGAAAATATATCATCAATATTCTATCCCGAAGAACTGCAAAAAGTTAATTTCGACCCTAGTGACGTCTACAGAGTGGAAAAAATAATTAAAAGAATTTATGATAGATCACGAAGACAATATAAATACTTGGTTAGATGGGAAGGATGGCCACGCAAATTCGATAGTTGGGTTTGGGATCTCGATAACTTATCAATACAAAATGACAACAACAGATAATTTCACAATAGATCTTATATCGAATGGATCCATGAGCATTTTCCCTGGTAATACATTATCGAGATTCGCAAATCAAATTGACCCTGCATTAGAATTAGATGGAGAATGGGAAGTTGCGCTTACTGAAATTTATTTTCCCCTAGAGGTTGAGCCTGAAATTCCCACTAAACTTGAGTTGAAATTTTCAATTATGAGCGCGCATTATGTCGTCTATGATAAGCAAGACTTAAGATTAGAACATCCATGGGTGAATAAAGCAGAAAGGACAGTGAGTATTTTGCCAGGTGATTCAATAGAAAAAATTTTGAATAAACTAAATCACGAAATGGAAGCCGCTACAAAAGATTTGGCGGTTATGAAATCATATCCGAAATTTTTTCTTGAAAATGGTAAAGTAACATTTTCGGTTGGTTTCTACGATTATGCGGCCGCTAAATATGCTAAATTAAACATCTTGACTGACCCATCTCACACAGAGGAAATAAAAAATAAAATAATTCAGGACAACAGGAGCTCAGATAAATTACCTGTAATTATCCCTTCAGCTGATAATGCAACACATGGTATAAAATTCTACTTCAAGAACAAGTATTACGGTAAATGCAGTGTTATTGGAGCTGGAGGGGAGGATTCACCCGAATGGTCATGCGCTGGTAGGATGCTGTATGTTCCGAAATTTCAAGACAAAAAAATATTGGAATATCTAGGTTTTGATCCAAAAGTTCATGATTACACCAGTTCTTTAAGCTCGCAAACACTAAATTTCAAAGGTCTAAAATCATTTGAGAAAGAGGTGAAACTAATGTACGTGTATGCTGATATCATTAGAGATCATAATGTTGGAGGTACAAAATCACCAATATTGCGAGCAATTCCGCTAACGGGTGGTATCTATCAAGGCATTGGTTACTGTACATTTGAGCATCGCATTTATTATCCAATTCGGAAAAACCACATTGAAAGCGTTTCAGTAATTTTAACTGATGATACAGGAGACCAAATTAAATTCGCTGGCATCGGAAGAGTTTTCCTCAGTCTTGATTTCCGAAAGAAAAAATTAATATAAAGAAATTGATGTAAACTTTATGTAATAAAATGATTCAAAGAAAAACATATTGTCCTAAAGATAGTGATTTCAACGATTATTTTGTAAATCAAATCGGTTCGGGATTTGGTGATATCAGAATTGTCAGAGGTCCTAGATATCAAAGGGGTTATGGTTTTGGTAGCTTTATCGCACGCCTAGCGCTTCCAATAATTAAAGCTTTAGGAAAAGAAGCCTTAGATAAAGGTGTTAGTATTGGTAAAAGGGTCGCGCAAGATCCACAAATTCAAGAAGCTTTCAAAGAGGGTGTGAAAGATTTCGCAAGTAAAGGGCTTGCAAAAATCAAAGAGAGTGTCAAATCACAGCAAGGTAGCGGTCGTGTAAGATTATATAAAAGAAAAAGACTGACTGAAGCAGCCAAAAAACCCACACGTAAAGTGCAAACGCGCTCTCTTAAAAGAGCGTGCAGTAAAAACAGAACTAAAAACAAAAAGCATAAAGACATTTTCACATAATGGAATTTATTCACACATCTTCAAGTCCAGCTACTATTGCTGAATTAGATTTATTCAAAATCCCTCCTACACAAACTGTTATTGAGAGTATGTATGACGTAGAATATAGACCAGTAGGATCACTCTCAAAATCAACTGTTTTTGAATTTGTTGTACCTGGATCTGAACACTACACGGACTTGGCTGCCTCATATTTGTATGTTCAATTAAAGATCGATACGGACTCAACAGAAAAAATAATTCCTACAAATAATTATGCTGCCTCAATATTTGAACAACTTGATGTTTACCTTGGCAATGTAAACATAACACCTGGTAATAGCTTGTATCATTATCAAACTTTCATTGATGATGTATTTTTCAAACATAAATCAGCCATTGATGCATGTCAAATAATAAACGCAGAAGATAAGCGAGTCGAGCAAGTGAAGAAAACATTTGACTTTGTTTTACCAATTCATGCTCCAATGTTTCAACAAGAAAAATTTTTGATTGATAATGTACCAATTTCACTGAGATTGAAATGCGCACCTGCTTCTTTTGGCCTGACCTGCAATAAACCTATCACCAAATTACTTTTTGAATTTCAAAAAATATCTTTGTTTATTAGAAGAGTCAAACTCTATTCGCCTGTTCAAATGTCTATTACTAAAAACTTGGGAAAAACACCTGTCAAATATTACTTTCAACGTAATGAAGTCAAATCATTCCATCTTCCCACTGGATTTGCGGCTAACAGCGTTGATAACGTTTACAACGGACAATTACCTAGGAAAATAATTATTGGTTTCGTTACAGATAAATCATTCAATGCTGACCTTGCATCTGATGCATTCACTTTCTCACACAAAAAATTACAGAGTGCTGCAGTTGTTGTGAATGGAATAAAAATTCCTAGTTCACCATATAAACCTGATTTCGCGGGCAAATTATTCATGCGAGAATATTATAATATTTTCAGATCTATGAACCAAGACCATGGACTACCTAAAATCAGATTGGATTATGCTGATTATGAGAATAAATATCCCTTTCTAGTGTTTGACCTCACTGATGACGGTACTCTTGCATCTGATTCTGGTACTCTATCTCTTATTAAAAGAGGAAATGTCCGTATAGATATTCAATTCAGTGCAGCACTTGACGAAGGAATGCATATGATTTTATTTGGTATATATGACAGTATTCTTCAAATTGATGCAGCACGCAATATTGTAACCGATTATTGATGGCCCTCACAACAATTGATATTCAAAATTTCCTCGTGCAGTATTCTGACTTTAAAGGAGTCTATGCAATTGATCAATTACCTGTAACATTATTATCGAAACCATTTGGCATTGTAATCAACCTCGATCCGATTTGGAAACAAGGTTCACACTGGACTGCAGTTTATGTACCTGAATATGGAGCTGCAATCTATTTTGATTCTTATGCTCTAAAGCCTCCACAGCTGATTGAAACATTTATTGAGCGCAATTGTAAAAACTATGGATTTGATTACAACAAAGCTGTTTATCAAGGTGATTTATCAATAAAATGTGGATACTTTTGTATTGAATTTTTAAAAAGCTGTTTTAATAATGATAAAATTCCATTCAAAAAATGTAATACAGAATACAATGAAAAAATGCTGTATAAAATTCAATAAACAATTTTGTAATGTCCAAAAGCATAAGATGAGATTCCATCATCCAAAATATATCTTTTATCATCGAGGGGCGAAAGAGACAGCTTGTTAATTTTAACTGATGAAATTGAATGTTGTTTGCTCTGTAATCGAAAATTGTCATGATTCAATAATACATGGTTGAACAAACAGTCCTTGTAATCATCGATTGTAATTGCGCTTTTGACAATTGCTTTTTGAACTCCTTTTGCAGTAAGCTTCTTTTTTGTACCATATTTTATTGCATAAAGCTTTGATTTTATAGCAACAACTTCATCAATTATTTCGCCACTCATTTCATCTTTAAGGTATCCAAGTTTCTTTTTATTTGTAACATCATATAGAAAATGATCTTGAGGATAATCGGAAAAATCCATGAGAAAATGAAATTCTTTTAAATCATTGAATAAATTTTCTGTTTCAATTTTGTAAATGAAACTATCAGTATCTGTGTAAATTAATGACAAATTTTCCCCGTATTTAGGTAAAAAATGATCATAATGTAATTTGAACATGTGAAGTTTCGACAATTCCAAAACACTAAAGCCAAGGTAAATCGGTTTATCAAGGATTACTTTGAATTTACGTAATTTTATGATTGCTAAGTTATTGTCCAAAATGTAAAATTGCTCAAACATTGGTTGTCTTATTTGTTGTAAGGCTTGTCTGGCATTTGTAGCGACTTTGACTTCACTATGTTTGCGTTTATCCTCAATACTTTTACCGTATAATGAATTGACCATTAGTTTCCAAAAATCTTTTTCAAATGATGAAGTAGCCTTTCTCCTATTTTCAGTACACATTTGAATGTAGGGTCGTAACCAAGGCTCTTGTTCAAATTTAATTATGCGATGCACTTTTTTGAGAACAAGTCCTTTCTCGATGTAAAAACGTAAATTTTGTTCGTGAAGGACATATTTTTCCTTTTTCATTAAATTTGGGACCAGTTTTGCAGTTTTGTAACGCTTGATCCCTTTGGATTGCAAGAATTCAACAATTTCCTTTTGATAATTACTGAGTTGATCATTTTCAACAATTATTTTTTCAGGAGCAAGAGGGTAATCATTATGCAAATCATGTAATGATGCAGGATAATCCAAGTCAACTTCAAGCATGTATCCTGTTTTTCGATCCTGATTAGAATTCAAAATTTCATGAATGACATTTTGGAACATATTCTCTGGTACCCATTCAAAGTTTCTGCATGGTAAAACGTCACTCAGGGCATAACCGTAAAGATTATTAACATCAAGATAGGCGATAAATGATGTTGGTTCCTCAGGGTTATATTCTTCGGAAAATTGATTGTTTGCTTTAGCATGTCGAGACATTGCACATGATATTCCTCCTCGTATTTGATTTTCAATCATTAAAATCATATCAATGTCAGTTAAAAGATCCAACTCCATTCCAGTAAATTTCAAAGATGCATCCCAAGTAAGTCCAGGAGTAGAAAAATAATGACATGGGTCTAATCCAAACTGCGCAAGACTTGTAGCACGAAAGTTTTGAAAAATCGCTGTGAGTAGTAAAACATCAACTTTGAGATAAACGTCATGAAAATCACCAAGGTTCTTGCATTTAAAATGCTTCCATATTGCTCCAAGTCTATCATAAGTCTGTTGATCAATAGTTTTCAATGATAAATTTGAATAAAATTTATCAATCGAAGGCAATTTTCTTTCCTCAAATCTTTCCCAAGAATCCATGTATTCATAAGGCAGGGCACCTTTTGTAAGTATAAATGGTAAATCTTCGTCTGAAAATACTTGCTTTAGAAATTTTGTTTTTTCTTCATTTGACAGATTATTCGCAAGTGTATCCAAACTAGAAAGTAAGAAAGCAAGGCTGTCTAAAAACAGAAAATCATCCATAATGATTGCAATGTATTTCTCAGTATTTTGTGGAATCACGCTAATTTTTCTGATTGAATCTGTCTTGAGACCTTTAATAATTAAATGGGCGTCATAACCTTTCAAATTATGGAAAATAATCGGTAATTTATCAGGTAAACGCATTTTTAGAATTATTGTGCGTGAATTAAACGCAATTATTGTGCGCAGCTCCTCGAAATTTTCCTGTAAGGTGACAATGATCCAGCACTTTATCATCATTTAATCGTTTATGACAAACATAACATTGAGTTGCTCTTTCAAAAATTTGTCGTTCAGTATTATTTAATGAAACTGATTTTTTGTTAGAATCCAAATGTGTTTGAAGAAATTCTCGCAGCTCCAACAACGTTTCAATAAATTTTTCTGATGCATCAGGACCTCTGTAAAATTTTTCGTAGATGATTGAATCATTCCAATCGACAGCAACCAAACCAAATGAGCATGCCTCATGTTTCTGGTACTCAAAGGTGTTACGTGTGAGAGCTTTATCAGATTTTACCAACAAAGCTTCAAAATCTGCGTAAACAACATACGGAAATTTTATTGTTTTTTCTATCTTATCGAATTTACATTTAGTTGGAATATTCTGTTTTCCAGGTAAAATAACCGTTTGAGATGATTTGTTGTAACAAGGAGCTTCATGTTTTGTCAAGGTTCCTTGCTCCCTGAAACCGCATAGACAGTTGTAACAAAAAAATCTCTCCCATGAAGCCTTAGATTTGATGAATGCGTGAAAGTTTGTAATGCAATAGAAGTGATCATTGTAAAGAAAAAGATTGACGTGTTTCTCTTTGCGTGGGTATTGCACAAGCAAAGGGACAATTTTCCTTTTTTTATCAAGTGACAGTGTATAGAGATTGATTGAAATGTTGTTTCGCCTCTTGAATCGTTTTATCTCAGATAAACCAGTCTTTGCACTTACATCACGAAAATCATATAAATTTTCATAATTTTTGTATTGATACAATTTTTCTTTATTTCTTCTCTGTGGATGAAGACCCATGAGAACAGCCCATTTGAAGCAGAACTTTTTGCATTTTGGAGATAGTAAACTTTTCTTACGATGTAACTCGGGTGGTAGTCGAGTTGTGCAGCAGCCTCCGCTGTGTTCCTTCAACTTTCCGCTTCGTATTTCGAGAACTTTTACTTGATCAAGTACCCATCCACTTCCTCTTTGCGTGAATTGATCAATTGAAAGTTCAAGTTTTTCAATCCAATCCTTCATCAAGTCATCAAAATTATGCATACTCGTTAATCTATGCATTTCCGAAACTTTGTATATTTCTGTAGAATCCATTTCACCATCAGTTTTTTGTTTGATGAATTTGAGGAGTACGCATGCTTGCACTTTAACTGAACCCAGCTTTTCAAGTATGTATTTCAGCAGAGCTTCAATGTTTCCATTTTCGGTCGATAAAAGGTTTTCAATTGAAGTCCAATTCTCTGATTTCACGTAAACTGCAAGCGTGTTTTTGTAAGCCTTTTTGTGCAGCTTGAATGTAGCGAAATCACCTAAATCTGTTGTTTTTATGTTTTTACATTGTATGAGATGGTTCAAAAAATCTAATCTATTTAATTTGCGTTTACATTTTTCACAATTGATAGTTTTACATTTGGTTTTGTGTAGAAGCAGAGACTTGTGTTTCATAAACTTTTCACCACATGATTCACAAGAAAACATTTTTACAAGTGAAATTTCATCTCAGAAATATTTGCTTTAAATAAAAATTCGATAACATTTTTGTGAGCGCTCTCTTTTTTATTTTTTTTTTAGTAAAACAAAAAAAGATTACAAGGAAAATTTGAGTATAAAAGATAACATAGTAGAAAAAGATTGAATATTGTGATTACATTTTAGTGTTTGAGTAAACAAAGTGATAAAAAATCAAAATGTGAATAAAGAGTAAAAAGTAGCAAGATAATTATTCATAAATCATATGAACCATTGCAGCAGCAATACCATCAGAGACTGAGTTTGAAATCAGCTTTTCAGCTTCATTTCGAGACAAGCAAATTTTCGTTTCTTTGTAATCTGTTTTGAGCTGAACCTCTACGGAACCATCCAATTTAGCATGACCTGAAACCTTTCTTCCAATACAAGGACTGAATTCAAAGTGATTTACCATACCATTGACAGCCGTCTCCATCTTTTGCTTAAGCACTTCGTATTCTTTGAATCTCAAAAATAGTCCAGCTTTCGTGGGTATAAAGATTTTATTTCCCTGCCACATCCCTTCTTTTTTACGGCGAATGTCCACAAAGAAAATCTCACCATTTCTTTTAGGTTTTTGCACAGCTATCCATAGTCCAGGGGAGATTTCAACGGATAAAAGTTGTTCAAACTCTTCATTAAACTTTTTACGATGGAAAGATTTGTTTGGTGAGTTTACTTGTTCACTGTTTGAGTTCATGTTGAGCACAAGTCGGAAAGTAAAAACTGAATGAAGAAAAGTTTGAAAGGTTCTCTTTTTATACCTAAAGTCCAGAGGATCCAAATCCCTTCTCTCCACGCTCACTACAATCAACTATGTGTTCCACCTCGATTAATTCGGGAAATTCCGCCTTTTCAACAATTAACTGGGCAATTTTCATATCTTTATTAATGATGAAATGTCTATCCGAGCAATTGTGAAGGATAACTTTGATTTCACCAGTGTAGTCAGGATCTATTACGCCTCCATGGACAATAATACCTTGAGATGCGAGGCCAGAACGTGAAGCAATTCTAACGTAGGTTCCTTCAGGGGGTTTTACTTTAATTCCTGTTTTCACAATTACTGTCTTTCCAACGGGTAAAATCAAATGTTCAAAGGACTTAATATCAAATCCAACTGATCCAGACGTAGCTTTTACGAGCGGTGAAGCACTTGAGTAACATCGACTGAAGAATAGAGACATTTTGTGAAGTTAAATAAAAATCCACCCAACTTTTATATGCAAACTCTCAAGGTTGAGCTCACACAAATTATCTTTAAATTTAAATACTTCTTTATTTAAATCTAGTGGCCTTCTTTTTTTCACAAGAATTATACTTGATCGCCTTGCACACTTAGCAAATTAGATATGAATGTGTAATTATCATAATAATTGTGAGAATTTTTCGACAAGGTCATAAGCGACTAAGCGAAAACAATGATACATCAGCACATACTTACGCTAAGAGTCAGCCTTCAATTCATGTTGTAGATCTGGAATCAAATACGTTACCAAATCCATTTTTGTAGGATCATGCGAAATTTCTTTATAATGCATGACGATTTCTTTTCTAAGTTGATAAATTGAGTCATACTTTGATGAATATTCATTCAACCTAATACCAAAGAAATCCAACGCATAAACGAGTTCAATTTTCTCGCCCATTGATAATTTTTGATGAGAAAGGCAACCAGTCCAGAAAAAGTGAAGAATAATGTCACAATAATACGGATCAACTCGTTCTGTTTAAAAGATATTAGTCAGCTTGAAATTACAAAAATCAAGAAACTTACCTTTCAGGATAAATGAATTATTCTCCTGTCTTCTAACAGGACCAATCAAAGATCCTCTCAAACTTTTAGTAAAAGAACTATTGGGAAAACAATTGTAAAGTCTTTTTGTGGAACAAGGTTTCAAAATACGTAGCTTCTCACTATCCAAGTATAACAAGATATCCTTGTTTGCTGGTTTCCATCTAAATACATCAACCAAGATTTCCATGTTGAGTTTGAGATGTTGCAAGATTGACTGCAACTTTTTTCAAAAGCACATTTCTTATATACGTTGTATACGCGATAAAAATGACTCAAAATTTACAAACAAATAACATTTATTTAAAAACAAAATGAAAAGAAAGAGATAAAAAAGATACGAGAAAAATACAAAAATAACAATGAAAACATAATATCATTGAACAAATAAAAATATGAAAAACAATTCATAATAACAAAAAACATAAAAATATAACAAATACATTGTAAACTGGAAAAAGATAACAAAACATAAGAAACATTGATTAAAATGATTATTATCAATTATCAACAATACAAAGAAATAAGGAAAGAAGATCATCCTGCAGCTGCAAATGATCCTTGGTCACGAAGAAATCATCAGCTTCCATCTCCACCAGTGTATCAACAACGTTGCAGCACTCACGGCGACATTCCGTTTTCAACAAAGATGAATCCAAAACGTTGTTTAAGATCTTTTTCATTTCCTTCAACGATTCTCCATAGATATATTTATTCTCCCTTACCATTGTTAGTAAGTGTAGGATTTTTTTATGCAGCGGTTGCTTTTTGTGTAGAGATTTTCTTGGGAAAGTTTTCCGTGCTGAAAATCGTGCCATTCTAATAAAATAAAAAAAAAAGAAAAGAAAAAAAAAGAAAAGAAAAGATTAGATTAGATTAGATAAATGCACAATGAATGAAACAAAAAAAGAAAAAATGTTGAAAAAAAACAATCAAAACATACTTAAGGTGAAATAACATAGATTCGTTTCTCAATGTTTGTACGGCATATTGGACATCCTTTTGTCTTTTTCAAGTATAAATGCTTATCACAATGAGTACAAACAGCAAGATGCCGGCAAGGCAAATATAGAATGTCAAGTTTGTTGACTAAACAAACACAACAAAAGCTCTTTTCAATATCATATACATCTTTTCTTATATATGGACAGTGTGGTGAAAGAATTTCATGCAAATACTTTGGTGAAAATGGCATAGTTTCTTCAGTACCGAGCCGACAGAAAGCACATTGAACGGTTTTTCCATGTCCGGTCCAAAAGAAACCACTCTCAACAAGTAGATTTTTACTCCTTGGTGCGATTGATGTTCCATTGAAAGAATCTAAGCGGTTAGTGCGAATCATATAAAGTTGAAAAACCTTCTCTGGATTCACCCAAATTTCATCTGTTATTTCTTTTTCGAAAATATCATCACTTTTCTTGATTTTAAATACTGGCAAAGTAACAGGCGCTGCAAAGTTATTTTCCAAGTGATCCTTAGGCAAAGAGTAATAAGAAACTTTTTTATTTCCGTCCAAACAAAAGGCAAAACCTCTGTCTCTACCGTTAATAAACGAACACTCTGGACTAAACTGTTTATGTATTTCATCCAAGTCTGTTTCAAGCAAAGATAGAGGAATTTCCAACCCACAAGCAAAACAACAAGCATTCGTTTTATCCTCTTTGCAGAAAAACCCCTTTGAGATTATTTTATCAACTTTTGCTTTTGGAAAATCAGTTGTTTCGAATGAAGAAATTCTATGGTCAGCATGTTTCATTTTCAGATACAAGTGAAGTGAAGCAACAGCTTTTGGGCAAGTCCAATGCTCGATAATTGGTGAAAGCATATTCTAAAAAGTAATAAAGAAAATTTTATTAACGTAAAATTTCAAATATTACATTTCTTTTCATTTCAATATCGTTTTTGATCTTTTTCAAGATATTACAATGATTCTTACACTTAGAAATAAAATGTTTCTTATATTTACAATTTACTAACCAATTCATTGCTTGGTCAACTCTTGGACAATTGTTTTGAGCTGCAAGAATACATAAACTTGAATTTGTGAATTTAGAAGAGAAATTGTTGACAATTTTTCTTTTATCTATTAACTTGATTTGTTTTTTGTATGAACATGATTTGCAGTGAAGAGTTTTATATTCGAGTTTTTTATGAACTTTTTTCAAGTATTTAACATATTTAGAAGCCAAACAGGGATTACCAGTCTTCTCAGTGGGACATAGTAAATCTTTCGGGATTTTCGGGTAATTTGTTATTGGGACGATTCCGTGTTTCTTGAAATAATCATTTTTACTTGGAGCACGAAAACCAATATTTTTAGTGGGTTTAGATAAGTTTTCAATTATTATTTTCATTGTCGAGACTAAAAAGACAAATGAGACAAATTGTTAGAATTTTACCAATGAAGTGATTATCTATTGAGTATAATCTAAAACTCTTCTACGAATCTCTTGATCAACAGATGATAAAAGTCGTAAAAGATTTCGTCGTGAAACGTACAAGTGATAGGCTTCAAAATCAACAGTGATTATTGTTTCCAGCATAGAATGGGTCAAATGAGGCGGGGTAAGTTTTAAAATGGTGAAAAAATCAAGGATTGAGACGATAAAATCAGCAAGATTCAAAATTTGATTTGTTTCGTTTGTATCAGTAAATGCATTAGCATGAACTTGCGTGGCTGCATCTTTTTTTCTAACAAACAACAAAGATGTTGGATTTTTCCCAGGAGAAACTCGATACATTGTAAACCTATCTGGAAATAGTCAGCAATAAGAATTGAAAATTAATAAAGACGCTTAACTCGAAAAGAACAAAAAAACATATATGAAACAGAAGCAAACAAAAAAGTTTCAATCCACAATCATAATCAACCATCAAAGTGATTTCGATCGAAAAAGTTTCAATTCACAATCAAAAATCACTATCAAAGTGACTTAAGTCAAAAAAGTTTCAATTCTCAATCAATATCAACTAACAAAGTGAGCTCAATTGAAAAAGTTTCAATTCACAATCAATATCAACTAACAAAGTAAGTCCAATTGAAAAAGTTTCAATTCACAATCAATATCAACTAACAAAGCAAGTTCAGTTGAAAAGGTTTCATTTCACAATCAAAATTCACTCTCAAAGTGAGTTCAATTAAAAAAGTTCAATTCACAATCATAATGCAACTGAAAAGCAAAGACAACCAAAAAAGTTTCAATTCACAATCAATATCAACTAACAAAGTGATTTCAATCGAAAAAGTTTCAATTCACAATCAAAAAGTCACTTTCAAAGTGAGTTCAATTAAAAAAGGTCAATTCACAATCAAAATCAACTATAAAAGTGAGTTCAATTGAAAAAGTTTCAATTCGCAATCAAAATTCAATATCACAAGTGATGAATGTCAAGAAAGCTTCAATGCACAATCATTATACGCTAACAAAGTTAAGACAATCAGTAAAAATTCAAATCTCAAACATAAATCAGTTGCAAAGCAAAAACAAATATAAAAGTTTCAATTCACAATGATTATTCATCATCAAAGTGATGAAAGTCAAAAAAGTTTAGTTTAAAGTCATAATGTAGCTTAAAAGCAAAGTCAACCAAAAAAGGCACAATTTAAAATAAACAATCAGTGAAAATACAAAGACAATCAAAAAGTTCCAGTTTACAGTCATAATTCATCAACAAAGCAAAGAAAATCAAGAAAGCTTTGATTCTCAATAATAAATGACTTACAAACCAAAGAAAGTCAAACAACAATAAACAGTATAAGTAAACATGCAAACAAAAAGAGACTTACGTTTTAACGTTGCAAAACAGACAGATAAACGCAAAAATCAAATAGAACGAATAACCAACCAAATTCGAACCAGTTGATGGCTTACAAACGAGTATCAAGGGACAAGACCAAAATTTGAACAGACCAAAGCAAACCACGTCGGATCAGAAATACGAATAAGAACCCAATAAACTACTCGAATGAGATTAAAAAGACTAACGCACAAAAACAAGTTACACCACTAATTCAAAGATTAACAACTAAAACAATGCAAAAAAACTGTTTTTTTTTCGCACACAACAAGAAGATTGAACTTTGTTCAGAATAAAATGAATCTGAATATGAAGATGAATTCGTTCTGTATTTATACTTTATCACAAGGACATGTTGTTTTGAAACAATGTTTCAATTTCTGATTCGATAATTGCTTAGTTAATTATTTTGTTTAATTAATTGTAAATACACAACTATCATTAATTACTCAAATTTTGGTAAAGCTGTCTGAAGGACAAGCATAACTGTAAAAATTAGATCTCCGCATTTTCCGATAAGTGTCCTTGTCAATGATGAGAAATTAGACTAGACTTAATCTAGACTTTAATCATCTTAAAGGTTGGTATAATTACTCTATCATTCACGCAAAACAATTAAAAAATTCATAAAACATAACTCTTAAACAGCAGGAAAGTAAAAGATAACCCGTCTCAAGGTGAATGTAATTGTCAGACAATTGAAACGGTTAAGTGAATTAGACGAAAACCTGTCTCAAGGTGAAGGAAGTTATTGAACAATTGAAACATTCAGTTATTTAATGGTAAACACAGCTTCAAGGTTGACCCTGAATTAATTAAAGAACATCGAAAATATGCATTCAATTTCGATCAAGAGGAGTTATCTTGTGTAGAGGAGTTAGATTGTGTATATTTACTACTACTATAAGTCAAAAAACACGATTCAAAATAATTTCTAAAGGTAAATGGACATAATGATCAGTCACCAAAAACTCAAATAGCCGTTTTATGTTGGGTTATGATGTGCGATATCCATTTTAGTTATCGACTAGCCCAAAATATCGATACTTTGGCCGAAGTTTACATTTTTTCTATGAATGAAATGCATATCTCACAACTTCAGTGGATCTGGATTTGAACTCGTCTATTTGTTGGTGAATTGCTAATCTTACCTGTAAGCTCGAAGGTGTCAACAACTGTTCCTAGTGAATGAGTTGGGACGCCGAGTTTAGTTTCCCACACATCAACCTGTACTGTATAGTTGCCACCTTTCGGTTCACAGGTTGATGCAAATTTTACGTCATAATATGTAATATGCATTAATGGCCAAGTTGATACGAGGATTTTATCATGCTGTGGAAATTGGTCAAATTTGAACCGATATTCATATGTAGCATTTGATCTGCGGGTATTTGCAACTCTAATCCGAAATCCATTTACAGTGTTAACTACGAAAGGTCCAATTTTCAACAGACTAAAAGTTCGATTGTGGGACCAAACACCTATATCACGGACTGAAAGTAAACGAATTGGACAAGAAAATGTGAATCAGAAGGATTTTCAAAGATGACTGAGTGCTTGTAAGCTTATATCAAACATATAATAGCATCTTGTTGAAATTGAATAAAACTAAATCATGACAATAACTTATGCAAAAAGATCTTTTATTTTAGCTTAGAAGATCATTAATTAATTTGTTTGAATAAATATTAAACTTACGATTTCCATTGATGGATGAGATGAAACACAGAATAATGAATGACGATAAACCTCTCATGGTTGGTCTGAAATTACAGATGATTTGAACTTGAACAATGTTTGGATGGAAACTATTTTGAAATATTAATATTTATCGCTACAAAAACTCCAATGACAGCTTCAAGCGGTGATGACCTGGGCTAGTTGTAAAGGTCAACCGCACTAGATGGCGACCGAGATAAAAGTTGCTTTAACAGAGCATTCAATGTTTTTAAAGACGTTGAATGTTGCGATAACTGTAATAAAAGACACAAGTAATAAATAATATTTAATGTTTTATAATTTCGTTAATAAAATTTTTTTCGTTTCAATAAAACTATTTTTTCAATGAAAAGTTTTCATATCTCATTGATTTTATCGAGGAAAGCTAAGAAGACAGCATAAATTTGATTATGACATTAATCAAGCTAAAATGAAATTCAGTATTAAGATGCTACAAAGATGCTGAACAATTTCATTTATTGGGTGGCATAGCATCGAAATGGCTGCCAGCAGCTAAGAGATCGAGCCTCGAAAGTTGATATAATAATGAAATGGTAAGTTATCGCAACATTAACTTCATTTAGTGTCGATCAAATAAAGTCTTGAAATGCATCTTACATCGGAACTCTGTTAAAGCAACTTTTAGCTCGCCATCTGTTGTGGGTTACCTTTATAACTGACCCAGGTCATCACCACTTGTAAGCCATAATATGAAGCTACCATCGGAGTTTTGTTGTGATAAGTATTGAAAACAGTTTCCATCTAAACATTGTTCAAGTTCAAATCATCTATAACTTCAGACCAACCATGAGAAGTTTATCATCATTCTTCATTCTTTGTATTGTCTTATCCAGCAATGGAATATGTAAGTTCAGTATTTATTTGATGCAATTATTTAAACTAACAAGCGTACTGTAATATGAAAGCTTGTTTGAGGTGTAAGCTTAATTATCTCCACTTTGTTCTTGTCTATTTTCTTATTTTCAGCCTGTGACGCGGCTGTTACGTGGTATGACTGGGGTCCTGGAACAATTGGTGTACCAATGCAAATTAGAGTAGCATCTGACTCTGGAACAAGAGGCCCTTCATATGAATTTCGATTCAAATTTGACCAATTTCCACAATATGATAAAACTATTGTCTCAGATCGAAGTTATGTAGATTACGTTGTAACATTTGAACCAGCGAAAGCTGGTAACTATACAATGCAAATTGATGTATGGAATTGTTATCACGGTGTGCCTTTTGATTGGTTAGGAACTCTTAATTCTACCTTCCAGCTTTTAGGTAACGTTTCGAATCATCATCCCAGAAATACTAAAATTAAGCTTATTTTGGGTATTTTTCTAGATTCACTCACTGGAACTATAGCTGTAAATGATGATGAAAATAAAAAAGTTGTTTCCACTGCAGAGGCATATGAACTCACTGCCAGAATGAGTTATCATTCCTGGTCTTTCGAAGCAACTAATATAACTTACAAATGGATTATTAATGATGAAGTACAAGAGGAGAGTTATAAGGTTATTCAACATACTTTTTCCCAGCCTCAACTGAACAACATTTCAGTGATTGTTACAGCAACTAAAACCAATGGAAGTGATCTTATACAAAAATCTGGTTCATTCAGCACTACATTGGAAAGCAAAGATCCAATTACTAACTTTACTGTTGATGGTCCAACCGAGGTTAAAGTGTTTGAAAGACTTCAACTGGACTGCAAAATTCATGGTGGAACACCTCCATTTCAATGCGAGTACTTTTTTTGGATTGACAATCCTTACAGCGAACATATCAAAGTTACTAAACATTCGAATGAAAGCTCCTCATCATTAATCAGATATTTCAGTGCAAAAGGAACAAGAACTTTGAGAATCATTGCTAAAAACGATGTATCCTCGATTACAAAGAGCATGGAAATTTCAGTCTATTAGTCTATAAAATACAATCGTGGCCGCTCGAGAAAACTGACAGAAATTTAGGACAAACCAAAACATTATTTTGATGTTGCTCTCACCAGAAAAGATGAATCTTTTTAAATATATAATACAATATGATAAATATAATAAATGTTTTATTGTAATGTCACATTTTTAATAATGAAATTGACATATTGATTGAGTTTTTGAAATTCAATTTGAGTGTGGAAAAAATCTTTAAATTTATTCATCATAAGAACGCATTTTTTAGTTATGAATACAAATTAGATAGAATGGGAATTTAGGTGATAAATGCCAATTTGTTCAAAAAACAATGATTTGTTTGCAATTAATTGACAACACTAAGAATCTTGTGGTATCAGTTAATTGTATAAATAAAATTGGTGTTATATTCAATGACCAGATTTCAATTGACCATGGCTTTGTCAATTATTTACATCTCAGCCTGGCGAGAAATGGGAATTCAGTTCCAAACTGGATTTTCCAACTTTAATTTAGCAATAAGATCTCCTGGTGAATATCAAAATCTCTTTCGATTTCTTTTAGCCCTTCTTTTCGTTCACCTCAATTCAATGTCTCCATTCAATCTCCGTTTTTGCAATCACGTACATTTTATATCGTCGTTTATTTAACATTTTATTAAATAACACTTTAACACAACAATTTCACTTTCGTATGATTAACGAAAGGAATGCTTCTATTTCTTGGTTCAATGTTAAAACTGTTAGCACAGGGTAATTTTACTATCTGATTGCATAAATCTGAGTTTTTAATCAAGCAAAGAGCGTTAAGTTTAATTCCTCCAGCAGCTAATTTGATGCTTAAATCATCAAAAGCGGAAGAATTAACTTTACGAACTTAATTCAAAATGATTTTGTATGAAAACATTCAATTGACCAGAAGAAGCTGATTTGGAGATTATTTTATTGCTAAAGATATTAAACCCATGTTGATGTGGCTTTACTTGGAGATGGTGAGGACGGTGATTGTTTTAGCAGTGATGGATTATTGTACATTCCAGCTGAGATTAAATGTTTCTCCATTTCTTTTGATCCAATGAACGATAATCCCTTTCGATAGTTATTCTCGTTTTCAAATGAGTTCGATGTTGAACCTTTTTTCAATTCTGTTGGGACAGAATAATTATTTACTATTGACTCTTCTTGGACGGCATCCTCTTCGATTGGTGGACACATTACTTCAAGTCTATACGGACTACGATAGATGCGTCCATTGATTATTCTTGTGCGCGAGTCACGAAGAGCAGTTGGTGCTTTGAGATGAGATGAAAGTTGACCGGTTGAGGGTGACAATGAAGGTGGAGATTGAGGTGAGGCCAGTGAAGATGAAGATGTTGATGATGGTGGTGAGGGTAATGATGAGGGTGAAATAGATAATGACAAAGATGAAGTTGTTGATGATGGTATTGTTGAAGTTAATGATGGTCGAGCTGATTGTGACATTTCGTTGAGAAGATGATTGGTCATTGATGTTAATGGCGTTGATGGTCTTGAATTAACCGATGATATGGTTGATATTGGGCTGGCTTGAAGCAAATCTTTTGCCGATACTGTTGACTTTTGAGTGGATCCAACTGGACGAGCGGCAGCAATGAGTTTTTTGAAATCATGAATAGATGTGGGTTTTACTGGTCCTAATCGATCAGAAGCTAAACTTCGACGACATCCTGGTACAGTAACATCAAATCCATTTGTCATTTCTTTAGTAAATGACCAGCTTCGCCTTTGATTAGGTGAGAGGAGGTTTGGTGGTGAAGGTAATGGTTCACTTTGGGGGGATGTAATTGGAGACGGAGTTTCTGCCGATCGTTTCTCTAGTTTTCGTTTGGAGTCATAAATCATTGAAATCAAATCACTTGTTGATAGTTTACTTCTAACTGAACCAGAACTAAGCAGAGTACCAATGGGTGAAGGCAAATCAGATTGAAGTGCAGGATCAACAGGACTAATATTTACATTGAGAGCGTCTTGAGCACGACGTTCAATTGACCCAAGACCTGAGAAACTATGTCTATTCATGTTGAAACGAGGTTTTGGAAAAGTTGGTGGACCCACTCGACCTGTGACAACAGTTGATGGCGTCTCAGAGTTTGGTGCTTCTACTTGAATGTTAGCAAGTGGTCGATAAGGTGTTGATGATAATGGACTTGGTGCTACTAATTTTGGTGGTGAACAATCTTGTTGCAGCTTTGATTGGGAATTTTCATTCTCTTTGCCATCCAAAGATTCAGTTAATGATGCATTGGCTGCTGAATTTGTTGGTTGGGAAGGTCGATTATTATTTGTACGGTCATGTGATACAATTGATCGATTTTTAGATGACACAGTGTTTACGGTTGCTGCTCGCGGACTGATAAGACACGCATCTTCAACGGAAGGTCTAGGCAAAGTGGACCATTTTTTGTTTTCAGCTTCTAATTTTTTTGCTCGCTCTAAATAGGCCATTGGGTGATCATCTCGACGTCGTCCGAGAGAATTGGATGGATACAAAACTCGACCATTAGAATCTAATTCCACTTTAACTTGTTGTTGTTTAATTTTGTATGGAAGAATCAATGTACTCGGTCGCTTTTGATTAGAATCAGATTCTTGTGATTCATTTTCGTTTCTTTCACCCTCTGGTGCTTTCATTTGAGGTAGATTAAAATTTGTAACTTTTTTGGGCTTTACAAGATTTTGAGGTAAATTTGATTCGTTTTTTGATGGAAATGATGGTTCCATTTTGTTCGAGTAGGTTCGGTTTTTATCATTTTCAATTTCTTCTTCGCTTTTTGATCGAAAATCAGAGCGAAGTAAACTTTGAAAGAAAACTTGATCAGTGATTGGTTTAGGTAGATAAGGATTGGAATCAACTTTTTTCAATGTTGCCAAATTTTTCTCAATTGATTGAGGTTTGTACAAATTGTCTGTGCTTAGGCCATTGATTGATCTGGAAGTACAACCTGGAACACTTTCACACCCAGATGATCGTCTACTTGGACATCTAACATCAGATTCACCTTTAGGGTCTGTTGAAATTGATTCATAAGCCATGAACCCTTCCCTGTCTTTACATATAACTGGTGTGATTTTAGACTTTTTATTCAAAGTTCCAAACGAGAAAATTTCTTTAATCTTGAACGGCTTGTAGCTACCGAATAATTTCTTTTTACTTTTCTCTTTTTTAGATGCTGATTGCTTCTCTCGGTTTGATGATTGTTTGTCCACATCATTGGTACCTATACTTCCATTGGAACTAGTACCATTTGAACTATGCTGATCACAGACGTCAGATGATGATGAAGCTGATGATGATGATGTTACATTACAAAGAGAGGGATAATCAGTTGAGCCGATGCACGTTTTTGAGCGAACACGTTCACCAAGTTTATCACTTTGTTCCGACTCAGAATGATTTCTGATGGAAGGTGTTGATGATCGTGATTGAGATCTTGATGAATCAGGTGGGTTGGAGATTACATTAATTGAGGTAAAGCCAAAGTCATTTGCAGTTTGATTTGAACTAATTGCTGTTGATCCACGACCTAATTCTAATGATTTTGGACGCTGATGCTCACTATTACTGTAACTATTGTTGTCGTTATTGTTACTATTAAAAGTATATTTACTGGAAGAGCCATTTGTTTTACGGATGCTTGAAACCCTGACTGGAGGCGGAGGTGGAGCAACTCTTGACCAACAAGAATCATTATCTTTATTAACAGGTGCTCTACTTGGTTTAACTGGACTGGGCTTTTTGACAACTTGATCTGATGAATTAAATGAAGAAGCATTGTTTGATGTATTCACAGGCGTAATCCCACTTTCAGTGTCTGTTTTGGAGTACATGGAAGTAAGACTCATATCTCCGATGGTGCTATTTGAACTCACTGAAGAGGCTCGATTGCGATGAGACTTTACACCACCACGAGAAGAGGTTCCAGGTGATGTTATAGTATCATTTTCGCTGGAAGAGGCGACGCGTGAACGACTATCGTCCACAATATTGACAGATCCCAATTTGGAGTCGCGAAAAAGTCCACTGTCAGTATGCATAGAGGTGTAATAGCCATCAGTATCAACTGAATAAACTGATTCAACTTCATCGTCAATGTGAAGGAAATCTGTTCCACGTTGGTGATTAATGATTGAACGATGATGGTGCGGGTGATGGTGAGAATGGGAAGATTCCGAGTTTGAGGGACTCATCGGTGACAGTAATTTAGAGTTTTGTTTATGCATGTCATATCTATTTTTAGATCCATTGGTATTCATATTCATCTGACGGTCATTGGTAATATCTGGCGTTAATGTTTCGGTAGATCCATCGAAATATTTCAACCAAGACTCGGAATCACGATTGGCAAACCGAATTGACCGACCATTAAGCTCAGTTCGTGTTGAAGCTGTAGGTAAACCTGACTTTGTTGATCGTTTTATTACGGCTTCACCGCATATTGCACTATATTGTGGATCTTCTCTACTTTTTTCTAAACCAGAAAGACGACTCATGGCATATGAAGATGAGATAGCCGAAGTATCAGACACATATCCATTTGAATCAGCTGCCATATAACATCCACGGTCAGTATCTTGTTGTGTGGTTAAGGTTAAACTCTCCGAGAGAACGGAATCTTTACCAAGAGATGATCCAGAAGGAGATCCTGGCGGTGGACAATTTTCTTGCCCTCGTTGATTGCGCCTACAAACTCCAATATTACATTTACCCGAAGAAACATGATCAGAATCAACTGAAGCATGAGTTGAACTAGAAGCCGACCAATTACCACTTGATGATCTTCCATCATCTCCTGGACCTTTGGCTGATGGTCCGTCTCTCATTTTAATTCCGTTTGATGAAAGGTAACTTTTCACTTCAACAGCGGAAGGTAATTGGGTGGAAGACTTTTTCTCTACTACAGTGGTTCCACTTGTACCGGAAACATCACTGGTTGTTAATAAACTTGATGAACTAGGATCATGTACAGAGTTAGGGGATCGACCCACACCAATACTATTGCTATTACTACGTGAAGTGGAAGAGTTGGGCTCAATTAAACTAGAGCTACCAATTGATTTAACAGTTATCACAGATCCACTGAAAATGTCACTTCGATCGTCTTCCCGATGAACCTCTGCTCTACACTCAAGTTTAGTTCCACCAAAAGAACGTCTTTTTGCTTCTTTCAGGTTAACTATTCGTCCAGTTGAGTAAATAGCTTCAATGGTTCTCTCAGTTTGACAGCTTTCATCAATTTGATTTAAAGATGATGGATCTGAGTTTCGCCTTTCACGTAATTTATATTTAGATGGTGATGGTCGTTCAGTTGTTGCTGATTTATTAGTTTCATGAATAGTATTACGTCGCTTGGTGCGTTTACCACGAGATGAGATTCGTCGGCGAGGAATTTCTTGATCCCCCTGGAGATAAGAAAATGAAAGAAAAGAAAAACAAGAGTTAATAAAGGTACAAAATTGGTACAGATAAAAGAGAAAGTAAACATTGATTGAACTGTAAGATGATACCTCGAAGGCCTGAGACTTTGTTTAATTGCAAGTTAAATTGAAGGATGAGATGATGATAAAGGGGAGAAATGAAGGAGTGAAAATGGAGATTTGTGTGAACAAGTGATAAATGGTATTTGAAAACATGAAAACAATTCCTGAAAATTGTTTGTAAAGTAACGAATTTCAGAAACAGTGTAAAGAAAACTAATGTAAATAGTTAGCTGGAAAAATTTTTGTAACAAAAATACGAAGAGGAAGAAGATAGTAGGAGAAGATGCTGATGAAGATGGTAAAGTAAATACAGTTATGTGGATGACAAGACAAAAAATCAGAGGTTAACTAATTTGAGGTTTTAATTGAGTACCAACTCATCATTTAGTGAAGACAATTGAGGTGAGTAAAAACTCAAATATTCATGATAATGAGTGAAGGAGCATTCACCGAAAGAGACAAATGTTGATGATGATAAAGTCAGATTTACAGGGAAGAAGAAAAAAAAGCTAACTTCAAATGGAAGATGAGAGAAATAAGAGAAGACCCTAAAAATAGCGATTTGACGACCTGGAAAGAAGCCCTTTCTAAATAGATTCAGATACGATTAAAATGGTTCAATTTATTAGGCAAGAAAAAAGTACAAAAAATAGAACTAAGAAGATGAAGAAGGCGAAAGTTGAAGAAAAGAGGGAAAAAAGATCTTAGATTTTGATGTAAAGTTGACAGTCTTGAAGATTCTTGGAGCTTTTAATTTACAAGATTATTGTAGTTCATGGAGGATGATAATGGGAAATGAAAACTTCAAGTTGGCTTAAAATGCATGACACTTACAGGGAGAGAGAGAGAAGAGATAAGAAGTGAGTTTTGTTATGGATGAGAGAGCTTGGTGAACATGAAAGATGATAATGTTGATAAAAAAAGGAATGAAAAACAACTGGTTAAGTTGAATGGATAAACTGAAACAGACTTGTCAAACTTTGAACCGAACTTTGTTTACTGTCAATGAAACTCCACTGGAAAAGTTCATGTAAAATAAGCTCATCATGATCAAAGGCAAATTTTACTCAACGATATTTCATGCGCTAAATTAATTTCTCAACATACGCACTCTCATCCTCATCGATATAAATTTTATTTGTCTAACAATATCATTTTCATCCTTCTCTCTCTGCCTCTTTTTATTACCTTTTTCATCAGGAAGATGGTAAAGGTATTATACAAAAAATAATGATCCATTCAATCAACTGGAAATAAACTCACATTACGGTCAGAAAAAGTTGTAACCTTCCATGAACTGAGGTCAGCTTTTTTCCCTTTTTACTAACCATGGAAATTACCTATCTATGGATCGCCAGGGAACTACTTTTACTGGCGTTGTTGTTGTAGAGTTCAATTGAAATTGTTACCTTTCCATTTCATTTGCCACCATAACTTACAGTTTATTACTTTTTTTCAGCATTCTATTCTCCTTTTCTCATTGATAATGGAGAGTGAGAATAGAAGGGAAAATGATTGAGGTAAAAAGCGAAAAAATTGACCAGTAAAAATTGAATGGTTAATAAATTGAAAGAGTAAAGAGTAAAAATTGAGAAATCGGAAAACTGTTTGGTTCAACAGTTTTTATGGTCAACTTTTGTTATATGGACTTTTAACATGCAAACCACACAACTTGGGTTGTAAAAACTAATCAATCGACAGTGAATTTTAATTCACAATTCAAATAAATGATGGTATGCATGATAAAAATAGCTTATAAGTATTAATAGATCGAATCCAATTGGTGAAATAGCTGACCCTTTACTTTATACTTTGAGAAATGTATCAAGCTCAAGTGTAACTGATTGTGTCTTTTCAATGTCTGGAAATGTAACTTTCCTTGTGTAATGTTTCACACTGTACATTTGTGTTGTCTTGCTACAGTTCATCATTCACTTTGTTTTGACCATTCACCCATTTCAATCTTTACTTAACCTTTTGAAAGTGAAACTCAAGCTGACGCATCTTCACCTCTCACGCTCCTTATTTTCACATTGTATTTGCTTCTAACGGTTCCCATAATAGGCAATAAACTTCCGGCTCTGTAAGCGAAAACAAACTTCCTTTCCTTTTTCATCTTTCAAAATGAAGACCAAACAATAATCCTCGACTGACTTCGAGGTAAATTACATTGGACAAAAAAAGTAAACTTACATGAATAAGTGATCTACGGAAACTGGACATCCTTTGAAAACTGGAAACATCAATTGGTATAAATGAGGCGGGATATTCTTGAGCTAAAGCTTCAGTTACTTCATCTGGTGATGGTAATCTGTAGATTGAATCACTATCAGCCTCGTCAAATCCATTGGTTGAATTGTTTTCCTGATGACTGTTTCTTGAGGTCACTGTAATTGGAGTCTTAAATTTTTCAATTAACGCGTTCCTTGGTAATTTGGCAGCTCGAGCCAATTTTTCAGGTCATTAGTACTCTTTGCTCGACAGGCGCCTTTCACTTATGGTGAGAGGCAAAAGATTGCCTCATTCTTGTCAGTCGTTTAAATCATAGACCAGAAGATTATATAATTGTTATTTAGTTTAGTGGTGCATCATAACCCATAAGTAATCATGGCGTATGAATGTACCGGTTATCAAAATAATAAGATTAAATTGATTGGTAACACACACAACAAAGACGATTATTTTTCAAATGAAAAAGGTATGTTCAAAATAAGTATAGGTTCATTATCATCATTTCTGTGAACTTTTCCTGAACAATATAATAAGCACAGTGTATAAATCTGTATGAGAGAAAGAGAGGAAGAATAAGGTAAAAAATTAATTAGCCCAAGAAATTAACTTTGATGGCAAACCTGTCATCCAGAGTAAAGTCAAAGCTAAACTTTACTAGATTGGATTGGATAATTGTTTCATGATGGATGAAGATAAATGGGATGAGAAAGTACTGGTCATGATGCCACAAGGATTAAGACTTACTGTGGGCTTGATCATTGAAATTTAAGATACAAAACACGAGCAAAATAACAATTTGGATGGTTGATGATCAATAAATTGATTGAATCAATTTAGGACACAAAAAAACTTGAAACATCCTTTGGTTAAAAACGGATAGAATAACAAAATTGGTGACAAAAGGTTCTCTTAAGAGTTACCAATTAGTTCAGTTAGTAATGTGTTCAATTTAATTGAAAGACGTTAATTTGGGACTGTTCATGTTTTGAAACAAAATTAGCAATCAGCATTAAATTAAACGCAAGTTGGGTTAGGTTGAAATGATGATCTGATGCTCCTTGTTACAGCAACATTCAAATGTGACTTGCTTTGATGAAGAGTCAAATTAATTTGAAGGTTGAAAATCCTTAATTTTGCGTGAGTAATTAGTCGTTTTGTAAATTGAATTAACCTTATCTTAAAATTAACCGACATATTTTGAAAATGGCGACAAATGGATAAAAATAAGTAACCTTTTGACTAATCCTTTTTGTTTTTAAACAAACTGATTATTCTTATCTCTTATTAAGGCGCCAAAAGTGATAGACAATATCTTTTTGTAGACATTTTTTGATACTGTGAATCACAAGATGTTACATTTCAAGATTTCTTATCTTTGGTCTCATATTTCAACCGATTTTACTTTTTTTTAAATAAACGTTACCTTTTGCTGTTCAATCTCTAGGATTTCTGCTTTCTTTTTCGTATCCGCAAAAAATGGTGAACAAAGATAACTGTTGTGATATTTGTAATCTTCCAATTTGAATTGGTTTAAAGGTGAAATCGATGCTTTCTCGTAGGCATATTTTATACATGGTGCTCGTTTATCTGGTGAAAATATATTTGTTGTAATCTCTCGATTTGCTTTGAAATGGTCAGTTATCCTCATGAAGTCGTTGATTGAACCAAGAGCTAAATAAAATAGGTAAGAGAATTAATTTCATTGCTATTGAAAAAATGGACTGATCGTTTATGGGGTAAAATCTCACAAAACATAACCATTTTAGACAAGTTTTCAACAATTGAATTATTTTTTATTTGAATTCCTTGCAACTTTACTTCTGTTTCATCCTTTCCTCCAGGTTTTTACCTGTTAGCTAGTAAAGGTTATTTTGTCTGAGCTTTTGTGTGTAAAAGCAATTGCATGTTTTTTTATTGGTTAGTGAATTGAACTGGGTCCCTAATTGAATCACAGTAATTATGGCAGCTTTTTCACTCTGTCTCGTTTATTGCCACGTTAGACTCATCAATGAATTTCAGACATGGGGCAATTTAAGTGAAGCAAAAGGGTAAGTCTTGAAACCAATCCTCATGAGTACATCATTAAAGACTTACTAGAGAAATAAAAGTAAAATAATTTCTTTCTTTTTCTTCTAGACGCCATGTTTTACTATTTGCATCGTTCCTCACGTTACATTGGCACGAAGAGACTTCCTTTCAGCAAAATAAGTGATTAACTTTCTGATCCAATAAATGCTTGCTCTTTGATTGCAAGCTTTTATTTACCATCATACCTGATGTTATTCACATTATTGATTATGGTTGATTACGGATAAAGAGAGAAACTAACATACTTAAAGAATAATTCATTGAATGAGAAATTGATGAAACAAACAAAAAAAAGGTTGCTTCAAGGCATAAAGTTCAAGAAACCATTAAGCGATTCAACATAAGAAAGATGAAAAGATCTCGCTAGAACTAGCAAATGATCAAACCATCATGAATTCATAAAACTGGTGGATGAGGGCAACCAATAATGGAGTTTTTCAATCAAGTCAACAATTGAATTTATGGATTTGAACATATTTGCTCAAAGCTGTTTCCCTTAACGCCATGATGCTGATAGTGATAACACTTTGGAAACTGGACATGATTGCTATTATTGAGGAAGGTACAATAAGAGTAACTTTTTCAATTAGTTAAAGATGGGAACAGAGCTGGGTATTTGAATCGTTCATTACATTCTGCCCATCAATTTATTTATGATGGAAAGTGATACAATTATACTCAAGTCAACGAGTAAAAAGGATAGCTTGAAGCATGACAGCAAGAAAGATGGAATATGAAATTGGTGAACCAAAAACCAGATAAATGAATACACATTGTCATAAAACTCATGATAAGGTCAGTATAAAGCAAACTGTTGAACTACATTGACCATTTCCTCTTCCTTCCGTTCTTCATACATTTCTTTTTTATACCTTTCTCATTCACCTTAACTTGTCTTTCTTTTTTTTCAGCTCCCGTTCATTTCAATCTTATAATTGTCAGTGCTGAAGCTGTCTTGTTTTTGCAAACCTTTTACGCTCTGATTGTTAATTTAACATTATCAAAGGTAACTTTACGTAAAGGGTAACAATGGGACTCTTGCGCTTCCCACTTGAAAGTTTAAAATACAAAATAAACAATAATTGAAAGATATCTTAATGATTACTTCAACTTTAACAAGACTCATTATCATACTAATCTGAAACCTGTAAATTTATTCTTTTAGATGACTCGAATAATGATCATTAGAAAAAAGCAGGATAACTACATTATAATGCTCATCTTTTGATGGTAGCTGTTGCTTTCAGTGTTATGGTAGCCATCACAACCCACACAAAGTCACTTCAGTCAAGCAGGAGAAACGTTTTTAGATGAAATGAAAAATTTAGAAGTAAAAGGAAAAGGAAAAACCATGAACAAAGGAGGAACTTTGATGCTGTTGATGGTAAAATTGAACGGAAAAATTATCCAAATATTATATAAGCATGATGTAACCATGATATGAAGCTCAGTGGTCCTCAAGTGATAACGACTTTCCCTCATAACTTTCATTCATATTCATGGTTAAAATATGTTGCCTACAGACACAAAGTTTCACCAGATAATCAGTATCATGATTATAAGGGAATCAATCGTAAGATACAAAACCAAGAAGATTAATTTATCATACATTTATGGCAAAATGGAAGAAATGTGCCTAAAATGAATGTGAAATTGCTGGAAAAAAGGCCACACATTGACACCAATTGGATATGCAATATTATCGAAGGAATCGCGACCGAAACGGAAATTAGGTTAATGTTGTTACTGCTGTTGTGGAGTTGAAAAGCCGAAAGGAAAATCTATAACAATAGAGTGTGCTGGCCTGATTGTTATTGTGTTTTCAAAAGAATGCCAAAAAATTGAAGTTGAACTGGCTAGTTGAAGTTTATTTGTCAAATCATTTCACAGTGAGAAGAGGATTAAGTTTTGTTTTCAAGCCTTCCTCTTTGGTGGATAATGCATTGACATTGACATAACAATCGACTATTTGTTTTTGGCTTTGATCATCAAAAAGGATAAGATTGAATCTATTTTATCAGCTTGATCATCTTCTACCTACCTCTACTGGATCTTCTGTCTATAATTGATAAATCAATATAGATGAATAAAGAGACAGTAAATGTATGGTCATTTGGTTTACCAAAAAGTATAGAGAAAAAAACTCGTTCAACTAAATTATTGTTCAACAATATATCAAGAAACAATGATGAACTATATCATAATGTAATCTTGTTGACAGTATCAGCAGTTGAGTTATTCCCGGGACATCATCACCACTATCATCTTGTTCATACTTTTACCATCATCAGTATTTTGATGAAACCAAAAGAAAAACAATATCAACTGTTAACAGTGCGACCCATAAATCATGCCTATCAACAATAATGAAAGAAACATCGCTCAATATACATTACAAACAATGCATAATGAAAATCCAACCTTGATCATGACGAGATAACAAATCCGATCAGACACGTTTCTAAATACCTGATAAGATAACTTGGACTAAAGACAAAATACTAATAAAATTGGAGCTAAAATTAAAATCATGGAAAGTGGTGGGATAATGATAAGAATCGGAATTACTAGAAGAAAAATGGATTGAAGACCATTTACGGTAGACCACATAAAAGACTTGAATTGTTGGAATGCATTTTATAAATAAATGCGAGACTCACTAGAATGGGAAATGACAATGAAGGAAAAGGACCAAAAATAGTTAACCATTTACAGTAAACCTACAAATAACCATGGAAATCTATGAATTACAAATATTTCCAACTTTTCCATTCTTTTTGTTTCGCTTACAGAGAGCTTCATCTGTACTACCAAACAGTAGGAAAAACAAGCTTAAGGGAAGCGAGAAAAAAAGTTATATCTGTTGGTATTGGAGGCGTTTTCCTTTCGCCAGAAAAGCAAAAATATCCACAACAAAATACACGCCATTATGTAATCACCAGTACAAAACAGCAAGTACAGGATCAACCTTAATTGACAAAAAAAACACGACTAAGTTTAGTCTCAAGATATAAATATATCTCTTGATTTTTCTTCTGAAAAATTTCTCAATGTTTACCATCAAGCTTATTGACTTACATTTCTACAAGATTTGATTTTCTGTCCTCAAAAATGGAACTTTGGATTGGCGAAAATCGTTTCTTCTGGATTGATTTATAAAAGCTGAACAAATAATGGAAGCAGAAACAATGCAAAACTGTGCATTCAAAGAAACTCATCCAAGTTTTCTTTGTCTTTAAACTCTACTTTTAACAAAAAAGTGTTTCCAGTTGACTGAAAAGCGTTTCCACTTTTCAGGTATTTCATGGTAAAAAAGAGATAATTTTATAGTCTTTACACACATCAAAATTTTGACGATTTTCATTAGTATGCATTTATGCAGATACATGATATCATCAATGTTAATTTGATATAATTTGTTGACTTGTAAGGTAAACTTATTAAGCCCTATTACATGATTGAATTATTCATATCAATTTTCAGCTCATTCAATGAGTTTGGACAAGAACAAGTGAAAAACTTTCTCTCTTTCCAATTCTCGCCCTTGAATACAGATCAGCATTTGGCTTGTTAATCCTGAATCTCAATCCAATTCTTAGTCTTTTAATCCACTTAACAACTGAATCTTGATGAAAATTTTTGACCACCGACGTTGATTTCCAGCTGACTATTATTAATGAATCAAAACTGTACTCATTATGAAATCAATGGTTACACAGCGCTGTTACAATTTCAATTGAAACAATTTAGGCAAGTAATTTAAAAGTTGGCAAACGACCACAATTTTTACCAAGAAACATGATTAAACTCAATTAGATCAGTGTTTAGATAAAGTTAAAGATGGCAAAAAATTGAAAGCATAAATATTCAAAAGCATTTATTTCGATGAAATAAGTAGAGCTAAATATGATAAATGTAAAAGATACATTTGATGTTCATTTCAAGTTGAAACCATTTCCATTCTCCTTATACATGTAACTCATGGTAACCTTTTTCTTCTTTTACAGGTTGATCCATCATTATCATCATCAACAACATCAACATCATTCACATCATTAAAATTTCTTCCGTTTTTCCTTCGCAATTTGCACAAGACTTGACTGGATTAACTAGTTGTTTGGGATTCACAAAGGCAATATAAAAGTACCTACGCCTTTTCACCTTTTTTGGTCATTCCAAGCGAGATCTTTTTCCTTTTTTCTCTTTCTCTTTCTCTTTCCTCTTCTTCAGCCTAAAAGCTCAATAGAACAAGTATTATGATGATTTCCATGGGTGAGGTCACCATATTAGCTAACATTAGTTTCTATCCTCGGGCTATCTTTGGATAGGTGAGAGTAGAAAGAGAAAGACAAGGTAAAAAAGACGAAAAATGCTGCAAAAAGTAAAGAGAAACGAGATTTTTTGTTCCAAAGGAAAATATTTACAAGAAAAAAATGGATCATCAAAAGCAAACTCTTGAAGATTAGGAAACGTGACTTGGAATCAATTTCAAGTTTTCATTTACTTCAATCATAATTCACTTTAAATATCAACAACATGGACGTTAACAACAATGGCCCAGCAAAATTTTTGAATACATTAATAGAGATTGGTTCCTTTTATCTCGAGATAAATCAACAATTTAAAAGTGGGAGAATCAACCTTATCCTTGATGTTTCTCTTTGTATTTGATCAGCTGGAAAGGTGGAGAGAAACAAGAATTTCCAGTGTTTTTTTTCATCAAAAAATCAACACAAAGAAACCAACAACACAATCACCTTTAAAATTGAAGGTCTATCACCGATTTAAATCAAGAATAATCCTGTATACCTGTGAATCAACAAGTCTCATCACAATTAGAGTTTGATCACAATAAAGGATAAAGAGGAAAGAGGAAAGGCTTAATAAAGTATCAGAGAATCTCACGAACATCTAATATTTGAATCTGTATTGAAACAACAACAAGCCTTTCAATTGATTGAAATGGATCCATTAATCCTTTTTTTAAACTTGCCTACACACAAATTGGTGAAAAAGTGAAGCAAATGATTGATGACTGTTACCATTAACACCATGCACTTTACCAACACACTTTAAACATCCCAGCATCAATGGCATTTAAATACCAACAATTGATGGTCACATTTCAACTCTACAACATTTCTGGAAGCTTGAATCAAATATAAACAAATCATCTGATCATCTTTAAGTCATAAAGCACGGATAATTTTACATTTCATCAATTTTATAAACAATGTTGGGTCATTATACCGATTGTACTGTATCGTGTCCAGTAATGAAATGTGCTTACGGTTAGTGAAGTGAACAACAGACTAACCAATCAAGATTAACAGTCATGATCAATGGAGGCGCACAAACAAAGGTTATGCCAGTGATTAGCAGGGGTCCAATAATTAACTTACCAAGTTAATTGATGGCTTGTAATACATTTTTGTTAATATAAAAAGAGCTGTTCAAAGTAATTTTAACATATAAATAATAACTTAAACAGTGGACAGCTTTTTATTCAACAGAAAATTAAAGGTTGGAAAATGTATTACTTAACATCATGATTATAAATATTAATTGATCAGGTAAGAGATGAGAAAATTTAAACAATGAATTTATAAATTGTTAAACGATTATTCCAAGTGTTTGTAGTTGGCAAAATATTTACAGAAACAAAACAGAATAAGAATTAACATCATAACTATCGTTGTTTAATTAATTTCTCATGTTAAGTGTTAATGAAATGATTTGTTGCCATAATAATAATGATAATTTCATCTCTTTTTCATTACAGGACACAATTATGAATAGGAAAGACTAGGATGGGATCAATATGCATGTTGACCAACGCCTTCACTTAATAAGCTCAGGATGTTGATTAAATGATGACCCTTTAATTGGCTATTTAATCATGTTTAATTAAAATTGCTCATTGTTGATGTCAGCAATGATAACTTTCATGCGGTTTTCCTGGTTAACAATTACAAACAATTCAATCCACTTTGAATGTTAACTGCAAACATCTCTTAATTGTTTAATTGTATTAATCCATCATTGCAAGTTTCATCTCGTTGGATGTTTAAACTGTTGATTTCAAGTTTACCAACTCAACCTTTTGAAATTTAATCAGCAACTTTGACTAATCAAATTAACAAATTAATCAACATGAAAATCAAAATACTCTTCCCTAGCATTGGTTAAACCTTTGTACAGTCAATTTAATTTTTCTTATAAATATTCATGTTTCGTCTCAAATTGAATTTACAATTAAAGAGTTGAATTGAAGAAAAATGATTATTTTTATTTCAATTTTTTTACCCAAAAATAATAGATTCAATATATTAAGTAATAATTAAATTTTAAGCAGATTGCAATGATTAACATTTCTAATTATAAAAAGAGATTTTCGTTTATTTTGACTTCCATCTTTCATTTTTCAAACCTCAATCCAACCTAATCAGATTAAAGTATTTAATACAAAATTGTCATTACGTTTACCATCAACACCAACAATCATCAATCAAGCTGATCACCTGAATTCACGATGTGAATAATCTTGAGATTAAATAGTCAAATGTTTGCTACTGAATGGGAATTAAGTCTCAAGTTTAAAGTCGCGACTGTAACAATTAGAAATTTTGATTAAATTTAAATTAAATTCATATCATGATTCTGTTAAGTACCGAATGAGAAACAAAGTCAAATTGAAAAGGTTGGATGCAACAGAATCTTAATCAACGTCTGATTAATGCAAGAAAAAATGAAAACAATTAGTTAATCACATTCTGACCTTTTTTCAATAGCGAAACTGTTTAGTTATTTATTACTTGAATGATTGATCAGCTTGAGATGAAACAATCAAATTTAATCAATTTTGATTCATTTCCATCAAAATCTTTTTTGACTTTCAATGAAGTTAATCTTCAAGTCGAGAATGAAAATAAATTGTGATTCATGTAAATTCAATTCCCAGTGAATTGTATAATCATGATTTGAGGTTGAAAAAGAAACAAATGACTGATTGTAAAGTAATTTACAAATCATTCATTCCTTTCAGGTAAATGTTGTTAAAGCAAACAAAAATGAAACATTAAGATTGTTCATTGTAAACTGATTGTAATTTGCATTTCCTTTGCGCTTGTTTCAACAATTTACTGATTTCAATGTAAATACTAAATTATTGGATTGGTCCATGTGAAAGGTTACCGAGTGAAAGATGGACCAACAAAATTATAGCCTTTTGTAGAGACTTTGGTTTGTTCATGTTCCTCTTTACCTTGACCGGTTTGTGTCTAATAAAAAGGTAACCCAAGTGAAGAGCGAAACTTGTAAAGGTAAAGAAAGGAGAAGGTAATGATTATGGTGATGACGATGATGATCATTATTATTATCATTGTGCTGAGAAGATTGAAAAAGAAGAGAAAGATTCACTTGATTGTCTGAAAAATGTTCAAAGACAGGTTACATTAAAAGTGGATCCAACGATGGACTCTTCAAACATACTTTTTACAAGAGGAATCATCATCTTTTCATCAATATTGACTTGCTCTTCACCTCTCACCATTATCATCATTCATCTTCTTTACCTTTTTTTTCGCTTCTTTCTTTTGTTCTCTCATTTTTTGTTGCTTTTTCGCTCTTCTCTTTGCTGTTCAAATTACTTTAAATGATAAGTAGATTTCAAGTTGAGCATCTCTCAGTGTTAACCGGAATTAATAGATTGCTGTTGATCAGTTCCATGACGATTCAAAGATAACAATCGAGTGATGAAAGTAGAAGAGCATTTTCTCATCTTTACCGATTCAATTCATTTTTTCATCATTTTCATCATTAAATTCAAATGCTATTTTTAGATGAGTAAATAGATTAAGACAAATCACAGGTGCATCAGTTTTACCCGAAAAAAGATAACCAGAAAAAGGCAAAAGAAATTGATTCGTCTTTGAATATTTTGAATCTGGAAATTCAACTGAAGCACGATCAACTGCTATTGTAATTATTTGGTTTAATTAGTTTAATAGGAAAATCAGTGGCAACTTTGTGTGGTTGCGGTTTGAAATTATCAGGTAAAGCTAATGAATTGAAAGCAGTTCAAGTGTAATTGCCATTTTTATGCAAAATGGGCAAATGATGGTCATCATTAACATCATGAGCATCAGTGATGTTTCTTGAAATACTGGGCAAACAGGAAAATGGTTATTATTGAAGAAAGTAAACTTTCATTCTCTCATTCTGGTTCCTCTTGATTTGGGCTGAAAAACGTTGGCGATGATGATGATGATGATGATTGTAAGAGCAGGGTTGGCTATCAATCTAAATGTTTATGAGATTTCAAGTTTCTCTTCTCGTGTTTGCAATAAATTGTTAATAAGAAAAAATGATTTAGCCATCAACTTGAGAAACGTCTTGACTCTTCACAGTGATTTAAAGCCTCAACATTACATTTACTCATGAAACTCTGGATAGACTTGTATTGGCTGAACAATAAACATTTTTTTCTGGTCCAACTAGTCCGTTAGCAAGTCCATCAAGTTACGATGAAAAATCTCATGAGGTAAAACCATTTTTTTGGTGAAAAAACTATTAAAAGCTATTGTTATCATTGTGCATGATGGTTCTTGGTGCACCGTCAATGTTATCAACGTTCATTATAATAGTTACCATTGAGTTTAATGTGTCAATTTGATGAACCATTTTCTCACGTTCATTAGATTCTTGGAATGAGCGAAATGAAATTAAACAAAATGGACTTGAGAT